ATTTTGTATATGCAGGAGCCTATCAGCCAATGGAGTACCGCGCTGGTAGTGGGCGGAGCTTGGTGGCTCAGCCGCAGAAACGCGGTGCGCCTGCGCAGTGCCACGCTGGGCCGGGGGCGGGCTCCCGGAGGAGTGATGAGGGGCGGGGGCGGCCGCGGGGCGGCCGAGGTCCCCTCGGGGTCCCCACATCCCCCCGATCCGTGCGTCCCCGGGGAACGCGGAAACCGGAGCTCCAGTCCGAAGGAGGCGCGGGGGCGACGTAGTGCGCGGTTTGCAGGACAAGGTTAAGGCGAGCGGAGTGAGAGTTATGTCGTGGATGGGAGGTCGGGTGGGGGTCCGGTGGAGGGGTCCCAGCTGGCAGAGGAGTCCGAGGGCTTAGCCTTTCCCTATGATCTTGCTTCATCTTAAAAATCCATGAGAATGCAGCGTTTTCTCAATTACGTGTCCTTGTTGGCTTTAATCATAAAATACTATTTCATGCCAGCTAAATATCTGCTTTTAACCCCCAAACTTTGGATAAAATGGACCCGAAAGAAATAACAGCAGTTGACGAGGTGCCTTGCGAATTTGTCTTGTTTTTCACTCGCGACAGCCCTGTGACACCTTTCAGTATCACCCAGTTTTGCCGATGAGGGCCAGAGGCAGAGAGGTGCAGCCGAGACAACCAAGACAGCGGGGTTAGCCCACCTGGGCGTCCATGCCCACCCGGGAGGGCTCCTGTCACCCGGCCTCACTCCCCAGGCCTGCAGACAGCCCCAGGGCCTGGACCAGGCAGTGGCCCGCCTTGGGTTTGGGGAGGGGGGAGGCCCCCTCTTCATGCCACTGTATTCCACAGGACCCCCAGTAGAGAAGGGGAAAACTGGGGCCCAAGAGGGGTGCTGCTGCCTCCTTAGCCTGCCCTGGGCCTGGGAGGATGAGGGCAGCAGGAGTGGCTGAAGGTCCAGGACCCAAAATCGACTTATGTCAGAAAGAGAATGATTTCACTTCCTGGGTATTGAAAACAGGCAGAGCGAATAGAGTAAGGGGAGGCCACACGGAGATTAACAGTGGCAGGGCCCCTTGCCCAGCAGTGAAGGAGAAACAAGGGGGAAGATGCCGCAGTTCCAGAACCCAGGAGAGCAGCCCCCAGAGGCCATGGTACCCACCTCCTGGGTCTGCTGAGTGTCAGGTGTCCGGGTGCTGTGCGTTGCTGCTGCTCACCCCACCTCTCCTCTCTCCAAGGTGCAGCAGCCCTTTTGAGATGGAAGCAAACCCTGGGACTAGCAGCACAGACACCACATTTCTGCTGCAGTGTTTATCTTGTTGTGGTTGTCACCCCTGTCCTTATCCTGGGACTTGGCATATTGACGGTGCATGGAAACCAGAAGTCCACCTGGTGAGCAACAGCATATGGTCCTGTCAGGACTCAGGTCTCGAGGAGTCACAACCCAGGGACCCTCTACACTCTATCCCTCAAATCCAGAGGAGGTGGACCCCAAGAGTGAGTGTCTCTAGGGTCCGGGCAGGGGCTGAAGGATAGGATCTCAGCCTGGCTTTGCAGCCCAGGTGTGTGTGTCTGGGCCCAGCTCTGCCCCTACCAGGGACTCTACCAGGTGCACCCCCAGCTCAGCCACCACTCGTGGTGCCCAGGGATGCTGCACACAGAGGGCATTCGTCCCGAAAGCCTTAAGGATGTTTGTATCAGCAGCAGCGCAGTGGGAACGGCTGTCCAGCGAGAGGATAGCAGAGGGGCCTCCTTCACAAGGGGGGCACAGCCTCGTGGGGAAACTGAGACTTTCCCCCAGCTGGGCCCAGACAAGAGGTGAGAACCTTAGTCAGCTCTCTGGTGGGCCCCGGAGGCAGGTCCCAGTCCCAGGCCATTTACCCCTGAGGACTCGCCCCTTAGACAGGGTTCCATCATGCCAACCAGGCCAGTCAGATGGCAGAGACAGAACAGTGAGGCCCCCTCCCTCAGCTGGCGGGGGCATGGGGTAGTGGGCCCCTAGACCTCAGCCTGATCAGAGGGGTGCTTTCTGCGGCAGGTGGGAGATCTGTGTGGATCTCGAGGCTCTGAACCCCTAAACCCTCCCCTGAACCCAAAGCATTCCAGCCTCCCCCTTTGTCTTCCCTTCCTCTTGAGCTCCCTCCTCCCCAGACCACCTGCCCCAGGTGTGAAGAAGGCCAAGGGTCCAAGGGCTGAGCCCGTGAAGAGGAGCCCTTGGGGTGCAGTGTGGGGGCCCTGTGGGTGGACAAGGCCCAGCCCTTGGAGACCGCAGGCTGGGGGACACATTGCCAGACCCTCTTCTCCATCGGGGATTGTCCTGGGTTTGGGTGCCCAAGTGACACAAATGTGTCCTGGAGCTCAGGGCCCAGGTGACAGGGTGATGGAGGGAGGGGCTTCAGCCCCTGTCGGGGGTCAGACAGGTATGGATAGAGGCCGAGGGGTCCTTTGAAGGGCTCTCTGGCAGGGAGCACCTCTGGGAGATGGGCTGGGGCTGGGCCGGGGGCAGCATGTGGTCCTGGAGATGTGGGTGTGCTGTGGCAGCTTCAGGGTCGGGGTCAGATCTCTTATCGGGTCACAGGTAAGACACTCATGCAGGCCACTGAGGTGGGTGGTCAGGGGCACAGGGGCACAGGGAGCACACAGCGTCCGCCAGCTCTCCACGGGGCTGCTTCATCCGGTGCCCTGCTGCCCACGGGTCTGTGGCACTCAGGGCTGGGAGGGCCAGAGGGAGCCCACCCATCACTGCCACCTGGACATCCCCAGTGGGCACAACACCACCCACAGGGACTGAAAGGCACCTGAACACTTCCCCACCCCTCACGTCGTGCCCCTCACGCCGCCTCCCACCAGTGAGCCCACCGGGGGAAAGCCAGTTCAGGCCGAGAGAATGCGGGGGCCCTCCTGGGACACTAGGCCTGGTTCTGAGCCCCAGTCCCTGGCCATAAATGGGCAAGCCGGTACCCAGGTACCCGTGCAGTGTGGCTGTGCCAGTCCCTGGGAAGAGTGGAAGCTGCAGGGCTTGAGCACCCGCCCCCGCATCTGTGCCCCCTGTCAGGGGCTTCATGCCCCTTGGTAGTGGGCCCTGTGATCAGAGGGACTCCTGGACTGGGAAGGGGTCGGGGTGTCTGCCCTCAGTCCACACTGCTGGCCCGTAGGGCTCCCTCTGGGGCTGCACTTGGCAGCACTCAGACCGCAATGTTCGCCCCTCCTCTTTGCACAGCATCATGGCCAGGGTGCAGTGGGGAACCCCAAGAGGAGGAAGTGCAGCTCTCAAGGAAGAGGGCACAGGGAGCTGGGGGAGTTGGAAAGAAGCCCCTGGGCTGCCCCAGGACCTCAGTCTCACTCTCTGTGAAATAGGGCAACAGCCCCTGCAGCTGGAGCTGGGGCAGGCTCTGGGACTGACTAAATATGACCGCCCTCCTCAGGACGCTTGGGAACCCCACCCTGGGGAACCCTGAGGCCTCTGGGCTGGACAGCCTGCCAGCCGCCCTGCTGGCCTGTGCGGGGCCTGCCGGGCCCTGGGAAGCCAGCAGATTCCCAGCAGGGGAGGTCCTGGGGCTCCAGTCCCAGCAGGGAGACAGGCTGCTCTGGGCCTGGTGCTGGGAGCGGGGAGCATGCTGGTGGCCCTGGTTCCAGGGCTGATGCTGCCTGGCAGTCAGGGGGCCTCCCTGAGGAGTCACAGCCTGGACTGGCAGGGGAGCCACACTGGCAAGGAGTATCTCCCTCGACCCTCCCACCGCCCGGGGTCTCCACCGCACCTCGCAAACGTCTGGGCTTATCGACCAGGACCGGGCTGCCAGCTGCGGGTGGAGATCAGCCACCTGCCGCAGGGCCCCCACCCAAGGGCACGTCCCAGCTCAGGCTTCCTGAGAGTGGCCAGGCCGGGAAGCGCCCTCACCTGCAGTGGGGCCCACCTGAGGCCCCTGAGTGGGGCTGTGGGGGAGGGGCCCGCAGAGGAGAGTTTCTGCTGGTGGTGGGCCTGGCTTTCCTGCTTGTGTCCCCCCAGTCCCTGAGGCCAGGGGGACTGGGTGTCAGGGCCCAGGTCGGCCCAGACAATCCTGATACTGGGGGCCAAAGGCCCTTGTGAGATCAGGACAGGGACATGGCCCAGGGATGAGGAAGAGGACATGGCTGGGGCACACCCAGGGGGCAGGAGTGGGGACACTGGGGGATGGTGGGACAGACAGAGAGGCTGGGGGATCTTGCCAGGCTCAGAGCGTCAGCCTTGGGCACAGGCACTAGGGTGGTGGCCCCCCGCCTGGCAGAGGCTCCGTGTCCCTCCTCAGGACCCTTCATACCCTGGCTGCGGCCCCCCCGCGGTGAAGAGAAGCTGCAGTGGAAAGCCAGTGAGGCGGGGTCGTCTGTGGCAGAAGGTGTTTGCTCTCCAGTCCCGAGTGAGCGGCTCCTGGGCCCCCAGCTGGGGTGCAGGGCTGCGCACAGGGGCGAGGCTGGGGAGACCAGAGTCAGGCTGGGGGTGCGGGGCAGGCTCTGCGGGAGGCAGGAGTTGACCAGGCAGAGAGGGCGGGCCGTGGGAAGTCAGGAGGCGGCCCTGACCCTCCTGCCCGACAGAGCCAGCCCAGCTTTGGGACTGAGCCCACCCTCCTGGTCCCTCTTCCGTTCAACGGCAGGATCATTTCAGCTCCTAGAGAAGTGGGCGGCCCCCCAAAGTCCATGTTCTCCCCACTGTGCTCTGCCACACCCAGAGAACCCACCCGCTGCCTCCCTACAGCACTGAGCAAACAAGGCGCCCAGCTCGGCTTCTGCTTGGGGTCTCAGCCTCTGCAGGAGCAGGCGGCCAGCCCTGCACGGAAGGCCGGCCCCCATCAGTGTGCCCCAGGCGGGTCTGCCCCTCTGCCTGGTGCAGCTCTGGTTGTTGCCCCCTGCGTGCTCCCGAGCACAGCTCTGCGGGGGGGGGCTCCTCCCTGACCACAGGACGCTAGGGGGGCACCCTGAGTCCCCTGTGGGGGCAAGGGAGGGTGTACTTTGCCATCTTGGATCACCCAGGGGGCTTCCCACTGTGCCCACAGCCTACCTGTTCCTGGAGAGGGATGGGGCTGGGTAACATTCAGGCTCCGTCTCACTGAAGGGGAGCCAGGGGCTCAGAATGGGACAGGCCTTGCCCAGAGGCTCCCAGGAGCAAGCTGCGCTCGGACCCAAAGCCCAGTCTGGGGCCCTCCCTGCCCGGGCCTCTCAGCTCCACTGCTGTCCTCAGAGCTGGTGGACAGGGGCCGGCTTGGGGGTGGGGGGCCACCATACCCACCCTCTTGGGCCCCTGGGCCGGAGGAGGACGGAACAGCACCACCTCTCATGACGCTGGAGCAGGACACCAGGGGGGCAGGGACCCACCCGGAGGCTCACAGTCCCCAGGCTGCAGGCACTTGCGATCAGCCGGGTTTGCCTGGATGTCATCAGGCAGGAGTTATGCTGGTCGAACCGTGTCCTCATGGTCACCACCTACTTCCATCCCCAGGGGACCCTGGGGAGGAAAGCGGGGACACTGGGGAAGAAACAGGACAGGGATGCAGGTTTGGCGATTGGCACGGGGACTGACCACTGTCCCTGTGCTCAGAGGCAGAGTTAACCCTTGGCCCCTACCCCCCAGGACAACCAGCGCAGCCCCACAGACGCCAGGGTTCTGAGGCAGGGCAGCTTGGGAGCCCCAGGGAGACGATTAGCAGCACAGGCCTGCTATCTACACATGCACCCACTCCCCGCTGCCTGCAGGCCACTGAGGGTTCCCAAGGAAGCGGGTACCCC